TGGGATGACTTCTTCTGTGGCCTAGAATATTTACCTGATATCCTGTGAGGTCTATCAACTTCAGTGGCACAAAAGCCAACTGTGTCAAAGTTGACTTCGTTTATAAGTTTCAGTGAAAATTTGAAGGCCCCAAATCTCAGCTTCAGGCCAACTTTTCCCAAGATACATCTACAAGGTCAGAAGGAGGAAAATACGGCCACTTCCCAGTCACAAGTGAAGTGGGTTCCTCAGCCTGTACACTAAAGACTGTGACCAATAGGTTTATAACTGCTTCAAGTTAAAAAATGCCTATACTCTGAATTGTACTAAAATCTGTGTATATAGAATTTGGTGGGAAAAGTAACAGTTAAAAATCTGAGGTTATTTTATGCATGCGTGTATGTACGTATGTATGTATTTTTCTTCATTTATTCGTTCATTCATTCATTTAGCAAAACTAAAGCCAGCATGTTGAACACGTAAAAAGAAAGATTACAGTTTCTTTGAAATCATGCCCTAATAAAGTCGCAAAATCAAATCCAAATCCCAGAGCCTAAATCCTTTTCTCCTCTAACAATAATAGAGTAGTAACACTCATTCATATTACATACTGAAGAGCAAAGTTAAGCTGATCTGGTGCTGATCTTCTCTTACTTTGTCTGTCTAGTTACAACTCCTCTTTAACACCCCTGATTCCCCTAAAATAACAATAGGAAGAACAGTGGATTAGAAATCAGATGACCTGATTCCAACTCTGTTGTGGTTGTTAGTTGCCATTGAGTCATTTCCAACTCATGGTGACCCATGTGTGCAAAGTGGAACTGATCCATAGGGAAGATTTTCAATGTTGTGACCTTTCAGAAGCAGACTGCCGGGCCTGTCTTCCAAAACACCTCTGGATGGGTTCAAACTGCCAATCTTTCAGCTAGTAGTCTGGCACTGGTGACAGCTTGGGCAATTACTTAATCTCTCTGATTCTCAGCCTCTTCATATATAAAATATTATCACTTATTCAGCTACCCTAGGTTATGTTGAGAAAGTATGCATTATATCACTATATCAACAACTGGTTCATTCCGTTCAGAACAAAAACACTTATATTTTTGAATCATAATTAAAAAATAAAAAGGAGAACCATTTTGGAAAAAAAGAGAGAGAGAGAGCAAAAGAAAGGGATTTGCTGACGCTGTCTCCTTTCCTACCACTCTGCAAACCTCTGTTGAAGCATTTGGCCATTTTTTAAGAAACATGCTTACAGGTCCGTCTTCCCTACTAGATTCAGTTTCCCAAAAGCAGGAATCTTTTCATACAAACTGTTTCCCCATTTCCAGCAAGTCTTTGACACTGAGGCACACGTTAAGTAATGTTAAACCGAACACCTTCTAACTTACTAAAGAACTAGATGTGTTTCATTGAGGTGTTTCCTCTCTAGCCCTGAGGATGTGCATCCCTACTTCTCTGAAGACCATCTCTCCATCTGCACACTATAAAAAAACCATCCGCTTGTTGGGGCAGCCCCTTTGTCTCCACTCGAAGCCAGAATCATTCTTCACTTCTTGGGTCTGGTTTAGTAACAAAAAATATCTCCCTTGAGTTTTGTTGTTTATTTCGTTTGTTGTTTCCATCTTAATGCCTTTACCATTTCTTCCTAAAGTCTTTCAATAACCGTGGGAAGATATTTTGTTTCAAAATGGTCTTGTTCTCTCTCAGAAGCAGACCTTATTCAGTGGAAAATGAAGAAACTCAAGGGACATAATTAGTATTCACCTCAGACTGATGAAGCACATCAATTATCCAGAAGGGCAGTTCCTTGAGGGACATTGCAGTGGAATAATCAAAATAACCCTGCAGTAAGAGAGGGAGAAACTACATCAGACTCTACATCAACTTACTCTGTCGTCTTGGGCAGACAAGTTAACCTCTCCATATGTCAGTGTCTGGTAAAACAGGTGGTGAGAACAAGATGATCTCTGAGCCCCCTTCCGTGTCTGATATTCAGAGTTAAAAGGATGTTTTATGTTACCATGGAGGAGAATTGTTCATATATTGAGAATTGTTCGAGCTAAGACCAAGAATGTTGATCCTGTATTTGGGTTAAGAACAGATCTGCATGATCTTAAAATAAATGGAATAGAAGTTTTATTGAATCTAATTCTCTATAACTGGGAGCCCCAAGTTCAGTGGTACAGTAAAGCAGATTCTATTGAGGTCTTGGAGCCGGGGTAGCATAGTGGTTAGGAACTACAGCTACTAACCAAAAAGTCAGCAGTTCGAATCCACCAGCCACTCCTTGGAAACCCTATGGGCAGTTCTACTCTTTCCTATAAGGTCTCTATGAGGCAGAATCAACTCGATGGCAATGGGTTTTTTTTGTTTGTTTGTTTGTACTCGACTAATAGAAACTACCAGAATGAGGGCATCTGTTAATCACTTATTGCAATAGTTATTAAAATCATAACCATGTGGTATAACTTTCTACTGTCACAACAGCATCACACAGAATAACCACTAAGGTAGTTTCCTTGTGCCACCTAAAATGTTAAGGAAGGACGTTGTTACCTAGTAAATGGAGATTTGCTTCACTTGAAACTGTAGACTCATGGCTCATTTGCTCATTCTTTCAATGAACACAGAGAACCTACTCTGTACAAGGCACTGTGTGAGGTACTGAGTGGACCACAATAAGAATCAGAAATATATCTACTCATGGGAGGTACATAAACACACTCACTCTCTCACACAGACTCGTACAACTCTACTAAATGCTAGAAAGTAGTAAGTAAGCGCCATGGAAGATAGCTAGAGTAAGTACTCCGAGGAGGGAAACATTTCAATTGAGAGCAAAAATCAAGAATTTTGTGGAACAAGAAACAAGAAGGCTGGGTTAGATTTGCACCTGTGGAAATGACAAATAAAAAAAAAAAGCAAAGGAAGAGAGGCTAGAAGGGCACAGCCCATGTAAGAACAAAATTAACATCAATTATAACATGTAACATTTACCAACTGTTTATCATGTACGAAGCATAGTCTCAGGGAACGCTTATAACCCTAAGTGGTTAGTTCTATTAGTATGCCCATTTACACATGGGGAAACTGAGGAACAGGAAAAATAAGTACCTTGCCCATGCTCTCCCAGAAAAAGATACAGCAGGTTGTTCAACGTTGCTGGAGCTCGTAACTGTGGTGGGGAGACACAGAAGTATAATTTGAAAGTTTCACTGTGGCTAGATAATAAACAGCCTTGAGTGCTAGACTCTTTCAATGAATCAAACTTAGGAGGAATTGAAATGAACTAAATACGAAGTAAAAAACAAGACCCTCTGTATATTTTTAAAAAGGCTATGCTCTCTATAAGTGGCCAGAATTTAGCACGCCCCTAGCATCCTTGCCAATGTGAAAGCACAAAATGCCAATCACATCTGGAAGGGATGTTAGTGTCCTTTCTAGTACAACCCTCTGCTTACTGAAGGTGGGAAAACTGAGCCTGAAAGATAATTAACCCTGATAAAATATTCCATTTAATTTAAGCTTTAAATAAAGAATAAATTGATATGTTGGCACATGATGCTGGTCAATTATTTCCATACTAACAACCAAAGATGATAGTAAAAGCTTAAAATCCCCGGGCACTCATACACTCTACGAAGTGCTCAAGAAACAATTAAGTTGTGTTCTCTTCTGTGCTTCAATCATACTAATGTGATTCTATTACTCCACAGAGTTGGTTGGCAACCAGATGTACACAAGACATTTAGCACAGACAGATCCCCTAAGTGGACATGCATTAATTCCCCCTAAAAGTCTTGTACATAAAAGATGCACCAGAGCCTCAAAGGATGTTATGTTTTCACAGAGATTAGTAAAGTGGCTTGAACTTTCTCTTGTTTGTTCAGCTGTTCAGGAATTAACTTCCACTAAGCTGAGTTCATATGAAAAATGTGTATTATCTAACACAAATATTTTCTACAAAGTATGAAGTTCCTCTTAGAGGTTTGTGTGTCACCATCAGTAAGACCCTCCTATGGGGATTTATACTGAGTCTATGTATTTATATTTGGTTTGTTATTCCAACAGCTATGCAGAAGTGCAGTTGAAACACACATCCCCAAAGACATCTATTTCAGGGCTCTGTGAGTTAAATTAGCAATGTTTTTATCTTGGTCTTGAGCTGTACTGTTTAGTAAGTTGTTATAATACTACTAATAATATATTTATTGAATATTTTTATTATTCTTTGCATCTTTATTTGATTCCTCTTTTAATAAAATCAAAAGAACATTTTGAGACGCCTCATTCAGTAATTCCTTGATCATGAGATTGAGTTTCAATACCTTCAATAATGCAGCATTCACGAGGGAACCCAACATACGTATTTCTTGCAACCTGTGGTACCCTCATGCTGTAATGGTATAATTAAAGTGATATTTCCTTTTGTAAGAAATTATTTAGGAGTTTATCTGTAAACCAGATGCATTTAACCTTGCTCACTTACAAGCAGATTGTCAAAGATGATATAAAAGCGATGGTGTTTTTCCAGATAAAGGTTCACAAACTAAAATTTTAAAGACTCCAAACATTATTTTAGCTATTCAAGCCACTTTCTGTCTCCCAACTTTTCAATCATTTTTACCTCCCATTTTTCGTATGTCATATATTTTATATCCCAGCCTGGTGGATAGGTGGACATTTCAGCCTGCCTGTCCATATAATGAATATGCATTTCAACAATCCAGTGTATAATTTTAAGTGTATTTAATATGCAATTGGTGTTTGTGGAAGCCCCTTCCAATAATTATCATTGGATTAAAGGTAAAATACCTAGAGTTATTTGAAATGACCCAAACTGTAATGTAATTTACATTGTAAATTTAAAATGTAATTCTTATTGAAACGGGAAATTGTAAATAGTATGTGCGTGAGAATTGAAGTGCGTATCTCAAATAACCCATCTGAATTCACAGCTCACGTTAATTATGTGTTATGGAACAGAAAGACTTACTCAATAAGAAACCAAACTCTTGTTTTCCATAATTTCACCATAATTTTATTTTATATTTACAGTCTTCAATGGCTAATGCAAGGGTCTTGCTGAGGATTTAGGGGACTAGGTAAGAGAGATGGGGTTTGGAGGAGAGGGATCAGAGGCCTGATAAGGACAATTAATAAGATTAACAGGATGTGAAAGTCTTCCAGAAGAAATTCTTGCAGCCAGCTTTACGTTCTCGGGGTGCCATGGCCGGATTTGAGTTAGCAGATCTCTGCAGCTCCAGCCTCATTTCGTCCTGCTCAGCAGCTGGGGACAAATCTTCAGGTTCCAGGGCATCATTCTCTGTCTGGTTAGGTTCAGACAGCAGTTCTGCCAAGAAATACTTGGCCAGCTCCTGTATAGGGCGAAGAGAGAAAGAGGGGAGGGGATGAGGATGATAATAATAGTGATAGTGATGATGGGGAAGAATGGAAAACCTAGTTTGGGAAAGCAGATTCAGCCAACCCCAAACCCATTTTCATGGCTGTACACACTTTGTCACACTCAAAATCAGATAAAGATATTAAAAATAAGGGTAGCTTCTATAACCACCAATTTACACAAAAAAGGCTTCAAGAACTCAAGTGTTCCTATATTTTTTCTGCCTTTGTAGACTTATGTGCACACACAGAGAAATAGCTACAGATCGTTAAAGCCATTTTACAAAGATAAAGCATGTGCCAACTGTTTGCTTAAGTCAATTTCTAGATCATGAATTACAAAATGGAATTGTTCTTACCGTTTTTACTAAGTCAACTGTGGGGAACGAGCCCTCTTACAATCGCAAACATACTGTGTTCCATTGTCCCTACTCCCAGCACCTGAGCAAGGAAGGTAGGAGCTTCAGAGGTCCACGCTTTCAGCACCTGGGTCAGCACCTCATGTGTTCAGCACCGGGGATGGAGCCCATCATCCCTTCAGGATCAGACAACTGCCAGAGTCTTGGAATTTTCTTGAATACCAAAGAACCCACCTGTACTATTACCGACTGCTGATCAGCAAAAAAAAAAAAAAGAAAAGAGGGTGGAGGAGGGGAGTAAGGGGATTCTGGGCTTTGAAAGTTTTCCTGAGAGCTTTGGGGACGGAGGGACCCAGAAAAGCGCCGAAACTCCTCAGGAGGGCAAGGCACCTCTCAAATCCAAACCAAGGGAGCTGGAACAAGGCTAAGGGAGGATTGGGGGATCCAGGAGAGTGGAAAGAAGACGTCGAGGGGGTCTCCTTACCTGCTTCCCCGCGGCAGCAGCCAGGGACTTCTGCAGAAACTGGCGGAGTCTGGGGTCCGAGGGCGCTCCGGTGACACCGCCCAGGGCCAGGGCGATGGAGAGCGCGGCCAGCGCGCACTGGAGGCGGCAGGACAGCATCTTGGCGGCGCCGAGGAAGCCGAGCGAGAGGGCGGTTCCTCAAACTCCAGGCGCGGATCCGCAGGCAGGAGCGACGGCTCTGCACTCGCGACTCCGAAAGCCGCCTGGGTGCGCACCACCGTCTGCCCCCTTTTTAAACCCTCTCTCTGACGTCAGGCCTGGAGACGCCCCCAGATCTCACCAGTGCTTTTACGCACCATTAGCCTCGGGAGATCAATCACAGAAGTGAGGGGAGTCGACATGACCCAAAGTTGCTTACTTAAAAAAAAAAAAAATCCGTGCAGACACGGGCACACACGATTACACACATGCTGTGTTCTCTAAATGCTCTTTTCTATTCACTCAGTGCTGCACACATACGCATTTCATAATTTCACTCCCACAAACACGCACATATACACACTCACAATTACACACAGAGGCTCACACACAGCCTTTACAAAGATAAACATACGATTAAACACAGCTGCATATACATACATGTACCCAGGCAACTCCACTTATCATTAAACTCAAACATTTTAGGGGGAACCAACAAACGAACACAAAAGTGTATGTGTAGGGCAAGTGGAGGTACAGAATCACTCCTCTAAGAATAAATTTGAGACTGCAACGTGGAGGTTAGAAAGGACTGAACCATCTCGGCTTCCTCCATTATCTGTGTAAGACGTCTTGGAGGTGAAGACATAATCGGGCTCTAAAAGAATCTCAATTTTTCTCTGTAATGAGGGAAAAGGTACTTTTGGCTCACTTTCTCTTCCTCTTTCTCTGCAGCTGAGAGACTGACTTCCGGTCTACCTGACTGTTATGGATTGAATTGTGTCCCCCCAAAATGTGTTCAACCTGGCTAGGCTGTGATTCCCTGTATTACGTGGTTGTCCACCATTTTGTGATGTGATTTTCCTATGTGTTGTAAATCTTACTTCTGTGATGTTAATGAAGCATGATTAGAGGAAGTTATGTTAATGAGGCAAGACTCAATCTAAAGGATCATGTTGTATGTTGAATCAATCTCTTTTGAGATATAAAAGACAGAATTGAGCGGAGAGGAGAAGGACCTTATACCACCAAGAAAGAAGAGCTGAGAGTGAGCACATCCTTTGGACCCGGGGTCCTCGCACTGAGAAGCTCCTAGACCATGGGAAGATTGATAACAAGGATCTTCCTCCAGAGCTAACAGAGAGAGAGAAAGCCTTCCCCTGGAGCCGGAGCCCTGAATTCAGACTTCTAGCCTCGTAAACTGTGAGACAATAAACTTCTGTTTGTTAAAGCCATCCACTTGTGGTATTTCTGTTATAGTAACACTAGATAACTAAGACACTGACTTTCCGTGGTGACCAAAAAAAAAAAGAGATTGACTTCGTTTTGGTGCCTAGAAATTTGGAGCTGGAAGGCAATCTCAGAAATCATCTAATGAACCACAGAGTTGGGGTCACTGAGGCCTAGAAATGTGCAGTGAATTGCTCTGGGTCACATACAGCACAGCTGAGACAAGGGCCAGAACTCCACCTCCCAAAGCTAGGGTCCTTTCCACTCAACTTTGAGTTTTCTAACAGATTCCTGCCAGAAAGGGTAATTTTAGGTCAGGAACCCTCAATCTGTATCTGTGAAAGTCTGGGAACCTCCAGAAAATATGTGACCATTACTGTCTAAGTATGTGGAAAGGATCAACCAGATTCTCAGTCAGATGCAGCCCCTACACATACACACAAACACACAAAAGCCTACACTCACAAAAAGTTTGCAAAATGCCATCCTAAATTTCTGGCTGTGGCCTGGTTAAATTGTTGCTGTCTATCTCAGAGTCCCAGCAGCTGTTCTCAAAAGAGTTTCTTATCAACGAAGGGCCAGCTGATCTCCTAGCATGGACCGGATGATGTCCAGGGGCCCTTCAAGGGCTGACTTTTTATGTGTTTCAAGAAAACTTATAATATTTAGAAAATTATGCTGCATCCACTGAAACCAAGTCAAGCAGAGAACTTGACGAATCCTGTCATCAGCTACACATCATGTATTAGAATATTCTGACTGCTTAGACTGAAACCACTTACAACAAAACCATTGTTTGTGTCTGTAATCCAAGGTGTCCTGAGCTCCTGGGAGAGAAATAGAGAAATATGGGAGAGAATACACAGCAAGCAGAGCTAAAACTCTCAGGTCTTGACCAGAGCTTCAACCCCGTTCAATCCTGTTCAAAGCACTGCTGAGAATTTGCATTTCCACCCCCAGATATACTGAATCAGAATCTACGTCTTAACAAGACGCACAAAATCACACAAAAGTGATTCTGTGTGTACACACAAGAATCATCTGAGGATACATAAGAATCACTTAGGGATCTTGTTAAAATGTAGGTTCTGATTCAGTATATCTGGGGTGGAAATGCAAATTCTCAGCATAGGGTCAAACAGGAATGAACAGGTTCAAAGCCCTGATCTTGACAAGTCCAGACAAGGCTATGCACCAAATGGGGCATTAAAAAGCCACTCATATGAGTCAGAATAGTCTGAGAGAACAATGAATCTGGGACATACACATTATTTTCTCTGTACATCTAGGAACCTTCCTTGGTCTCTGACTGGGGGCTCAAAGTCTACTTACAGAAGCACAAATATCCTGTGGCACCCCCAGATGATCTAACATCTCCTTTACCCAGGCCTTGGCCCTTAGTGGCCACATTGAGACTGGAGGAGAGTTTTTCTAATGCAGGAAGCAGTGAAAGAACAAACAGCAGCTCCACCATCTTGCTCTGTGCTCTGAGATCTCATCTTCCTCCCTCTCCAGACTCCTGTTCCTCTACGTCCACATGCTTACCCTCCTCCTATACACCTTCTCATCTCTCCTTTTTCTTCTTTTTCTTAACCTTTCTCTGAATTTCTCTCTCAGAATCTTCACTGTTCAATTCTTCTTTTGACTTTTTTCTCCACTCCATGTCCTCACTCACCTTTTCTTCTTCCCTTCCCTCAATCATTTTCTGACTTCAGTCTGGTTCCATCTGGCTCTTTCCCAGCCTTCTCCACATTTATCCCTCCGTTCTCACCCTGCTTAGCCAGTATCGATCCCAGTCTGCCTCTGGACATCTCAGCTTCCTCCTCTTCCTCCTTCCCTATCTTTATCCCTCCTTCTCAGCTATTTCTCACCAAAAATATCTGTGATCTTTAGCTGTCTAAATAACTACCTGGGAATAGTTTAAGCCTAGGGTGCTTCCCTCACATCCTGGCTGAAGGGCTAAGGCTGTGGATGAGATGACTTCTGGGTTTTGTTTTGTTGTACAATCCTTGGATTGTTATGAGTCTTGTTAAGAACCCCTTAAGACAGAAGAGGAGCCAAGGCAAAAAGAGGGGCACATGTTCTCCTTTAGGAATCTCTGAGTGGTGTAAACAGTTAATATGCTGGGCTGATAACCTAAATGTTGGTGGTTTGAGTCCACCAGAGGTACCCAGGAAAAACTGCCTGGTGATCTGCTTCTGAAAAATCATTCACTGAAAACCTTATGGAACACAGTTCTACCCTGACCCACATGAAGCTGAATCAGAATTGACTTGACAACAATTGATTGACTGATATTCCTCCTTAAACCCCCACAGTAAAGCTGGTTGGCTTAGCATAAAGGCACTTGAAACTTCCCCAACCTGAGCCCTCTGCCGTCAACTACCAAGGCCTTTCTCCAAAGTCCCAAAGGCAGAGAAGGGGAGGTGGTTCGTGGTTGTTACTGGGGACCCTATTTCTCAGAACTTGGTCAGCAGGAATCACTCTCATTATGGCCCCACCTTTATGCAGCCCTCTCTGGTTCACAAAGCACTTTCCCATGCAGCACTTCAGGCCAGGAAGGGAATGCTAGCCCCAACTTACAGAGGAAGAAACTGAGGTCCTCAGAACAGAGGTGCCTTACACAAGGACACACAGGCAAGAAGTGGCAAAGTCAGAGCAGAATGTTACTCCACTTTAGACTCCTTCATCCTCCCCTGACTCAGAGGTGCCACAGATACCTGGCTGAGCAAACTGCAGCCAGGTACAAGTGTCTCTAGATGGCTTCCAGCCCTTCCCACAAGCAACTCTTCTGGCCAGGGTAGCATTTCCTACCTCCCTTGTGGAATGTACATTTTGGGGTAACCACCTCCCAACATGAGGAGTAGAAACTTGTTTTAATAAGAAATAAGAAAATCTTTGAACAAACATAGACGTTCAATATTAAGCAATGCAGGGAAGTAGAAAGTGTTTGGACTGGGAAGCAGGAGGCCTGGGTGCTAGTTCTGGTTCTACCCCAAACCAACTCTGGGGCACCCTCTCTGGGTCTTTGTTTCCTTATCTGCAAAATAAAAGGCTTGAAGTAGGTAATCCTTGTGGTGCCATCTGCCCTGGTAATCAGTGGGTTTAAGTTTGACTAAATGAAGAGGCAAACTAGAATGTACTATGATGTTAACATGCTGTTCCTTTATCAATAGAGGACTTTATATTGGAAAAGAACCTGGCTTTTATGCAGTATGGGGGAGGAGGCTGGGTGCGGTGGTAATTTCTCCGGCCTGTTAGAAAGAAGACCTGCCCTCCCCACTCTGGACCTTCAGTTTCTCCATCTGTGAAATGGACTTACTCAAATTCTTTCTCAGATACATACTGAGAGCCTGCACTGTTTGAGATGTTGACAATATAGCAAAAACTAGACAGGCAAAGTCCCAATGAGGAAAACAGACAATAAACAATAATATTAAGATATGTTCAAATTGATAAGGGTTAAAGCAAGACATACAGCATGATGGTTAGGGAAAACTCAACTGAGGAGGAACTGAGCAGAGACCTGAATGAGGCAAGGGAGCAAGCAATACCAATATCTGAATAAACATATTTTCCTCTCAGATGAAAGAAACAATTACACAAAGACCCCGAGGTAGAAACATGCTTGGTACATTCAAACAACAAGATGACAAGAGAGCTAGAACAGAGTGGGTAAAGTGGAGAAGGCTAGAAGATGAGGTCAGCGAGGTAGGCAGGGCCAGATCACATAGAGACTTGAAGGCCATGATAAGGAAGCCACTGGAGGATTTTGACCAAGAGATTGACCTGATTTGATTTTTTTTTTTTAAATAATACCTTCTGCTAAGTAGAGAATTAACTGTAGAAGAGCAAGAG